TTCAAAGAAATGTAGCCCTATATATATTTAATTAATAGTCATGAAGATTATTATTAAAAAATGTTCCTTAGTTGTATTATGATTAGAAAGTTTATATTATAAATAAACACACCACATGAACAGTTCTTTGGATTTTTTTTAAACAGAGCAGATATCAAAATGCATTATTCAGGTATGTAATTACTATTACCTATACATATTATAAAATACAAAAATGTTGAACGATAATTCAAGGTAGGGTAACCCGTGTGACTTATAATTTGTACAAAATAATTACTAGAATATATAGGCCTATATAGGGGCTATTGCCGCTACAAGCCACTAGTCTTATTCTAAAATAGTTGTTAATATTAAAACTGTAGTAGCAGTTACCCAGCGCGCGTTGCTGCACTTAACTACTATTAATTTAAATGATAATCTTTTTATTATGATAAATAACAACAATAGGGATACCAATTGACAATAACTAAATATGTTATTATTTTTACTTTGTGTGAAAATCATACATTTCCTAAAATTAAACCTGTGATACTCAGGGATGCCATTGTGCCTTATTAGGCCTAATCGTAATACAAAAAACAAGAACCAAAGGAAATTGTAGTCACATAAAATTCAAAGGGTGGTTCAGATTAAATCATCGGTATTCTTAGGATTGGATTAAGATTATATCTCCTTTGAACGTACCACTGATAATTTTTTCTTCGGTCAAGATTCGTTTCATTTTTTTATACGTCAGTCTGGTTCCATTATCAGACATTAAATGCGCCTCGAGCCTGCAGATTGGTTAACACAACACCCATCACTTTTGGAGCGAACGATCTTGGAGTGAATGCAACAGTTTACTATGATTACATATTTTAATAATACTGCTTGTTCACTCCAATGTGCATTCGATCCAATGTACAGTACACTTTAAAATTTGTATTTTCCACAGGCCCGTCTACTTCTGGAGCTGACTGTACCCTTTGGATCGAATGAGCATTGGATTGAACGAACAGGCAAATAAATTGTAAAAATACTTTTTGGAGTGAATGATCTTGGAGTGAATGCAATACACCCAGGAAGGGTAGCACTGAATAAGACCTTCATGTTTCGTTGTCATCTCAATATTAAAAATCTATAGGTTTAATTCAAGGTTCTACCTCTCTCTCTCTCAAGAGGCAGTTGAAGGCATGAAATTAACTTTCAGATGCATTACCAGATGTTGTAAAGGTGTTTACCTAACCCGCCATGTTAAACTTCCCTATCCCAAGCGTGATGTATACAACTTCTTTACTTCACGAGTGAAGTAAAGTTTCAAAAACTCACTCGGTGAAGTAGTGAAACCCATTTAAATAACATTGAGTGCTCAACTTATACCTCTATGGGGCCAACGACGTTCTACGCTAGAAATCAGCTGTGGGCTTGAATTTTATTGTTATGCTTTAAAAGAAATTTCCTAACCTAGCTTTTGTTTGTAAAAGAACGTTACTGTTAGAAGATGAGTGAAATGGATAATGAAAAATATTATACGTAACCCCCTGTATATTGTCGGGTCAGGTAAAATCTTGTACGTTACACGTTACGCAAGAGCGTGTTTACATCACTTAGGTGACTTATGCAACTCGCTTCCGCTCGTTGCACAACATTCATCTGCGTGATGTAAAAACGCCCTTACTACACTTGTAATGTAAATAGCTATTTTCAACTTACAATTTCTTTGGAGTTCTTCCCTCTTCACTATTGGAATTCACTATTGCTCCATCTTCTATTGGAATTGCAGCTACTGGAATTGCAGCTGATGTTTCCTAAAACAGATTTATACGTGTAGTTCACTAATAACCTGTAAAATACCTTCAGAGGTTGTAAGGTTGCATTTTGTAATAATGCTTTCTATTGTAAAAAAAACTCTTTAAAGCTACAAACCATAATTCATGGTCTCAACTTACCTAGTATGATGACAAGCTGTTAAATTTGTTACTGTTTCATAGGTATTCTTGGGAAAGTGCTCTCCTATTCCAGAATGGGTTTGAATTTGTTTTTTATGGGAAGAGCAGGCTTACTTGCACAGTGGGTGAGTCTCCTGTATTAGGAAATATGACTCATATGAAATTGAAATATTTATGATGGTTGGCCACTGGATCGTTAAAATTAGCACTAATAAGGTTTAAATTACCTGGCTTCTGTCATCGATCCTCGGTATAGTTTTAAGAAACTACAGCTGTTTCATGCCTTACATTGGCACATCATCAGGTTTGGTGAACGCCAGCTCTTCTATAAAATATCCCTCGGAGATGAGATCGTTATGGTTTTACGAAACACATGTAGACACACACGAAAACACGCACGAAACATTTAAACACTAATAATTAATAAACTACTGCGAAACGTGATGCGGCGCCGGTGATGGATAAGTCGCGACTGTCACGTGTCGGCAGCGTTGACCCCTCGAGGGGTAATTTAAACCTTATTAGTGAAATATTTAGCTTGTGTTTCATGATCACTAGCCACTTTGTCAATCCTCTTACAAATTTCAACTTATTCATTGTCATCCTATTGAGAAGACTCACCCTCTGAACAAGTTAGCCTGCTCTTCCTATTAAAAACTAAATTAAAATTAATACTGCTTTAGTTATAGTTATCGAGCAATGGCTTAATGGCATGTAAAAGTTATTAAGCAAAATTCAGTTGCTATACTAAAACTTAAGAGCCCTTTAGCCCTAAACAAATTAGTAGAAGAAAAAATGTCAGTTCAATTTTGTGACTTAAATTCACTGTTTCACTCTTTCAGCAAAGATTTATTACTGTACAGTACAATATTTCACGAGAAAATCTTCTAAAAATATACTTTACGTATTAGGGACTATCTAATCTTACACCAATTTTAGCTGCGTCTGAAGCACTAAGTCTGATTGTAGCCGAGTCTAGGTCCGTCAGTTTGAGAAGTTCCATGAGCACCTTTTGGAGCAGGTTGAAGTTGACAGCACCAACCTGTACACATACATGTAATCAGACAACCCTAGTATGATTACCAAAATATATAACATCTTTTCGTGTAAACAATTTGAGTTCTGTAAGATTATATAAACTACTGCTCTGTACTTTGATGAAAGTATATTTTTACCATTTGGTTTTGTATGTAATTTTAAATGGAGGCTGCAATTTATTATGTATAATTAAATATGAAATTGTTGACGTGCTTGTTAACAGTGTATCTTTACTATGCATGTAAAGGGTACTGATGTTAATTGTACACTCTCACTGATTTGTCACTTTTAAAGATAGATTGAAAGGCTAGAGAATGATTTGAAAGAAAAAATAACTAATTACACACAGAGAGGTTGTAAATACTTAAAGAGGTGTTTGGTAATATCACGCAAGAACTGGAAGTATTGTTAATATTGTGCTCACCTGGAGATAGAAGTGGCATTTTATAGTAAGTTATAGGTTATAGTGACTTCATCCACAGGTAGTACATATGTTGGACAGCAACAACATTACTTACAAAGTTTTGGATAACTGTCTTGGGCTACGTTTCCTATTTCACAATTTTTGGTAAAACTCACCTCAGGACTACCAATAGCCAGATTAAGTAATTGTATCATCTGGAATTCAACTTCTTCTGCCATTTTGATGGTAAATAAGTCTTAACGCTAAAAATTTAAAAACCTTTCTGGTATTCTTATATTCACTCAATAAATAAAACGTTCATAAACCATTAGATTCCTTTAGAAGTAATGAAACTATGACTATGTAAATTTATATTTGTGTAAGGTTATATTTGAAGTTGTTTACAAAATATCACAAGGTTGAAATGGAACTTGAAGATTCATGCACTAAAACTTTAATTGTCAGCTGATATAGAACACAAAACAACTAACTAGTGTGGTAAGATTTAAAGAGCTCCTCTTGCAACTACAAGGGTTTGTTATACATGAAGGTTGACTTAGGTAAGAATTTGTTTTGTAGTAGCACTTTTTATTTTACCTACAGCTTCACAGTAATAAGGGGTCTCAATCCCGGAATCCCACTTGGTATTTTATTCCTAGAAACCTAGGATTAGCATTTTTAATCCCAGGATTAACAGGATTACAGAACCTATATTTAATTTTTTTTAGTTAGATGGGTATTACCATAGACTAACCAACACAAGTAGACTTCTCATCCCATTGTAAATTTTGAAGCACGTTTTTCGTGTCTAGTTTATGTACTTGACACATGGGCGCTAGTGTCGACGAAACTTTGTTTCTATTATTTTATGGTTAATTTCTTGATTTGTGCTTTACTTTTTGGTTATATAACTAGGGGACAAGTTATTGTTTATGATTAGATCGAATTATTTGGCTAAACGAGGTTTTAAATGGCTGTAATAACGGGAAACAAATTGTAAACAAAACACGACCTCTACATAAACCGTACAGAACTAACAATAAAATTGTCTTCAGCTGTTCCATGAGGATGAGAAATCTACTAAGGGAGTATGTTTTATCCATGGTATTACCAATGAATGCAAACCTTATAAGAAGCAAAATGCTTGTAGAGAAAAGTCTGACTGGATTTTGCAGCCGAAATGAGCTTTGCACGGCCACCTAGTTTAGCGCTAGCCTCTCCCCTCTCTCTCTGTATTCTTCGTTTCTTTGTTTCACTCACACTATAGTGGCGGTCCCATTGCCCCCGCCGCGGAAACTTGCCAAAATTCAAAAATCCCAGGCTGAGTTTCAAGCATTTTGCTTCTTATAAGGTTTGTTGTGTTGTTGGTTTTACAGATATAAAGTCAATGGTTTTACTTATGGAAATTGATATGTTATTACTGGGTACTAGTAATACATATTTTGCAAAGTTTCGTGACTTAGGGAGTTATTTCCAGGTAGAGGGGTATTTTTACCTACAATAACTGGACTACAATGGTTAATTGACTCACTGAAGCCTAATCTACTTTTGACTTCATTTAAGTTCACTACTTTTAACTTCATCTACAAACACTATTTAGGAATAAAAAGTGTACACTACAAGTTTTTAAATTTTTAACCAACAACTTTATTTTTGTGTAACAACATTTTATAAATAATATAAATAAAGAGACATTATCACAGAAAGGTTGCAGAAAACTAACCCAATTAAAGCTCTTAATTCAGACTATGGCATTTCAAGACGAGTATATCATTTGTCACCTAAATAAACCCCAACTTCTTGAATAACCTTATGAGCTGTGGCACATCCAAACGCAAGACATTCTGTCAAGGATTTGCCTTGAATCAAAGCCAACAAAAACGCAGCAGCAAATGAGTCGCCCGCCCCTGTGGTGTCTTTTATAAGTGAAACGTCCAATGTCGGCACAGCAAACTCCATAATCTCCCCATCTCCAAACACACAGTACACTGGTGCTTTCCCTCGAGTCATGACTAACACTTTATTCAGATCATTCACCCCTTCCACCTTAAACTTATGACTAGGAATATTTTGTTTCTTTAGGAACAAAAATGTTTCCATGGCAAGATCCTTCAAAGTATCACAACTTAAGTTAATTATTTTTCCTAAAGCTTTGAACTCGGAATCATTCCCTATTACTATATCGGCTAAAACGACAGTCGCTAACAATTTCTCCGAGTGAGCTTCAGCTACATACGCGCCACTGATGTTGAACGCGACAATGACACCTTTAGATTTACATATTTTTATGACTTCGAGAGCAACATCTAAACTATGAGTGATAAAAAACCCTTCGATGTATACTATAACCACTTCTTCTAGGATTTTGAGATTTTCGCTCGTCTCAAAGTCTTCCCTGCGATAGACTTCTGCTGCCCCGAGGTGAGCCACAAGGGATCGCTTATCTCCATGTATCAATGCGGCCACTTTTCCAGTAGAGTACGCAGGGTGTTTTGTATATCTGTAATTAAAGGAGAAATTCTTTAGGGAGAAAAACAAGTGTTGTAATCTATTGATAGGGGTAAAAAACTGTAAGAACTTTATTTGTATTGGATTAGGTATTCACTTAGAAATTAAAATGTAGTCTAGTTGATAAATTATTCTAACAAATATTGTGGGTCTTATGGGGCTTGAAAGTGGTCATTTTGTCAAATCTTAGTACAATCCTGGCTGAACCATAGGCCTGACAACAACCATTTGGGCATTATCTAAGGCATAATTGAACAGTACAAACATAAATCCAGAACATAGATCCAGAATTGTTTAATTGTCGCTACGCCACTGGATCCTTGTAATGAAACATGTTAGTCCCAGTGTTTGATTTATAAAAAGTGAGGTGCCGGAACTGTAACCTATTTATAATGTGATTAGTACATATTTTTATCTTTCCGAAAGAGAGGTACCAGAACGCCGTTCTACTGCGTTCCGACGCAAATCAAGCACTGTCTAATCCTGATAGAGAAAGGTAGGGAGTTTTACCCACTTAGTTGAGAATTATTAGAGATCGCACATACATTGAACAATTTGTTTCAGAGTTGACAAAAGCCAAATAATGATTGACAGAATTTAATTTGGGCATTCATAATCTAGGAAGGTCTCTGCCCTAACCATAACATCAAATCTTTAATAAATTAGTAGCCTATACACAATATTCATACCTAGCCCAAAATAATTCAGTGCATAAAGTTTATGAGACTTTGAATACCCTAAAAACAGTTAAAGTGTTTGCTACCTGTTGTGAATAACTGAACCTTTTTAGAAAATAAGGCTTTAATAAACTTAAATTGTTACATAGTTGTCAAGGTAAACAAATCTCTAATACAAAAACAAGTAAATAAATACTTCAGCTGATTACTAAAAACAGTAATTCATAACATTCTCCCCCTCAAAATTTAAACAATGTAATCAGCGAGGTAACTTGGTGGTTTTCTTGATCTTTTCGGCCTTTCTAGAGGTTGGTCTTGTTCAGGAATGAAGTTCGGTTGATAATCATCATTTGCTTGATACTCATGGTCTTGGATATCAAATGGAGTGACATTCTGTTCTGGATTGACATTTGGATCTGGATTAATGCTCGGCTCTGGAATGACATGTGGTTGTGATTCATCTGTCACCAGTTGAGGATTTTCTTTTAGCGTTGGAAGGACTTGGTCTTCTAGTAGACTTACATCCCCCCTTGGAGAAAGGTGCTTGAGGGATACAGTTGACTTTCTTCCATCATTGTGTTTAACCAAGGCATAATGAGGGTTAGCATCCATCAGCTCTACTTCCTCAACTAAAGGATCAAATTTTGATGGCCGAACATTTCTTTTTAAGAATATCGGTCCTGGTTTCATGAGCCAAGCTGGCAGTGAGGTGCCATTGAGGGATCGCCGAGGGTGAATGAAAAACCTTTCATGTGGCGTACTGTTAGTCGAAGTGCACAAAAGAGATCTTATGGAGTGCAATGCATCATTGAGTACAACTTCCCATTGTTCTACCTTTAGTGACCTGGACTTCAGAGCTAACAAGATTGCTTTCCACAATGTTCCATTGAACTTTTCAACTTGGCCATTCCCTGCCGGAATATATGGAGTCGTTTGACTGGTGGCTATTCCTCTTTCATGAAGGTAGTCTCTGAGTTCTTTTGAAAGAAAAGATGTCCCTCTGTCTGAATGAATGTAGTTTGGCATTCCAAATATTGAAAATAGATTTTCTAAACAGCGAACTACTGTGCTTGAGGACATATCACTGCAGGGATATGCGAAAGGGAAGCGTGAATATTCATCGATTATAGTCAATAGATATCGATTACGTGTGCAAGATGGCAAAGGACCCTTAAAATCTACATTTAGTCGCTCAAAAGGTTTTGTGGCCTTGATAAGGTGAGCATTTGTAGTTTTGTAGAAACGAGGTTTAATCTCTGCACACATTGGGCATTTGTTTGTCATTGTTTTAACATCCTCAACTGAGTAAGGGAGGTTTTTACTTTTTACCCAGTGGTACATCCTAGTGATACCAGGGTGGCAGAGTGATTGGTGAAGTGCAAAAAGCTTGTCATCACAATTTATGTTTGTGACAGCTCCACAAACGCGTGAAAATGCATCTGCGGTGACGTTTTCTTTTCCTGGTCTGTACTGTATGTCAAAAGAATAAGGTGACAGCTCAAGACGCCATCTAGTGATTTTCTCATTCTTTATTTTACTAGTATGCCGACTGTTGAACACAAACGACAAAGCCTGTTGATCGGTGATTAATAGAAAATGTCGCCCAATGAGGAAATGTCTCCACTTCTTTAGAGATTCGACTATGGCTAGGGCTTCCTTCTCAATAGAGGAATGACGTTTTTCACAATCGGTCAATGTTTTTGAAAAGAAAGCGACAGGTCTACCCTTTTGACTTAAGGTGGCAGCGATAGCAAAGTCAGATGCATCTGTTTCCACAACTAATGGAGAAAGATCATCAATCACGGTAAGTATTGATTTTCCTATGTCTTGTTTAATTTCCTGAAAAGCCAAAGCTGGCAAAGATGAGGGCAATATAGGAAAAGATTTGCAATCAATCAGAGGCCGAATCTTGTTTGAGAACTTGGGAACCCACTTTGAGTAGTGAGAAAATATTCCTAATGCACGTTTTAATTGAGATGCATTAACTGGCAATGGCAAATCTAACAAGGGTTTCAGACGCTCTGGATCTGCTTGCATAGACTGGTAGCAAATTTGATATCCTAGGATTGATATTATGTCTTGAGAAAATTTACTCTTCTCATTGTTTAGAGTAATATTATATTTCTTAGCTACCTTTAAGAATTTATTCAGCCTTTCATCATGTTCTGACTGAGTTTTTCCGGCTAGGGTTATGTCATCAATGAAAGCCCACACCCCTTCTAGTTCTTCAGTAGAAATAATCTTATCAATCGTGCGCTGAAAAGCAGACACACCATTTGTCACACCAAATGGAACCCTACAGAACTGATAAAGTTTTCCTGCTGCCTCAAATGCTGTGAAGCATTTTTCATGTTCCGATATTGGTATTTGATGGTAAGCCTCCTTTTCTGTAGTACTGAATACTTTATTTTCTGCTATTTTACTAGCTATGTTTTCAATATTAGGCAAGGGGTAGGCATCTAATAGGGTAAACTTATTTATAGTTTGACTATAATCTATTACTAATCGCTTTTTATGAGATGAGCTTTTGGTAACAAGCACTTGTGCACGCCAGGGAGATGAACTTTCTTCAATTATACCACTTTGAAGGAGTTTTTGCACTTCAGAGTTGATGAACTTTTCATCATCATTAGAATACCTACGAGACTTAGTTGCAATGGGCTTGCAGTCAGGTGATAGATTATGAAAAAGGTATGGTGGTTCCACAGAAGCACAGGCAACATTACAAATGGACAGAGGTAACTTATCTCCTCCAAAATCTAGGTTCACTGAAGAATGCAGTTTCATTATATCATGACCAACCAATATGTCAGTGCACAGATTGTCAATAACAAACAGTTGTACTATCTCATAGTTATGGTCAGAGAACTCTAAGTTCACATTAACATAACCTTTGATGGGTGACTTTAGGTTTGTGGAAGCCATAGATACCTGTTTCCGTTCTGGAATTACATGAAAACCATTTTCAATTACCACAGCTCGGTTTATAAAACTAGGCCTATCGGTACTTCCAGTATCAACCAAAACTTCAACAGGTATTTTATTTGCATAACCCCGCACAACTGCTTTTGACAGTCCATTGGAGGCAGCTGCACATGAAAGCGTGGTTACTACCAAAGAAGAGGCATTAAAGGTCTTACCTTGAGTTTTCATCAACCTGCATACCTTCACAAAATGTCCCCTTTTCTTACAACCAGAGCAAGTAGCATCTTTGGCAGGACAGTCGTTTCGAGTAAAATGACGCCGGCCACCGCAGTAGAAACACTTCTATTTAAAGTTTTTTGCTACAGAAGCTGAAGTAGGAGACTCTTCAGGATCTATATTTTCATCCAGTTGATCTGGTAGTGTTGATGAAGTGTTGCAATATGTGACTTCAATTTGGTTGGAAGATCCATATGCTTCACAGCTCTTCTGTGCAGACTCAAGTGAACGTGAAATGTCCTCAGCTTCTTTTAATGTCAAGGACGATTTTTCTAGTAGTCTTTGTCGAATATGGGGGTTCATAATTCCACTTATAAAGGCATCTCTAACGGCTTCATCTCGATAAGTATTTCCATCTATGGCACGAAAATTGCAATCCTTACTTAGAAGTTTAAGTTCTTGTAGATACTTGTCTATGTTTTCTTCTTTCTTCTGCTTGCGGTTTGCTAGCATGTGTCGAGCATAAATTTCATTCTTCTTAGGATTATAAATAGTTTGCAAAATTTCAACTGCTGACTTAAACGTGGAACATTCAGAAATATACTCGTAGACATTGTAAGAAAGAAAATTAATCAACACGTTAAGTTTCCTCTCTTCAGTAACTGCTGAGTCAGATATGAAATTTTCAAGTGTCCTGAACCAGTGTTTGAATGCTCTACTTGCAGAAGGATTTTCAGGATTAATATCAAACCTGTCTGGTTTTAAAAGTTTTTCCATTTTAATTTTGATTATTTAATTATCTTAATAAATTTAAGTTTATTAAATTTGTTGTGAATAACTGAACCTTTTTAGAAAATAAGGCTTTAATAAACTTAAATTGTTACATAGTTGTCAAGGTAAACAAATCTCTAATACAAACAACAAGTAAATAAATACTTCAGCTGATTACTAAAAACAGTAATTCATAACACTACCTACATAGAAAGAACAATTTTAATTTGCTATAAAGATAAAAGTGTCTCAAAAAACAGCAAGCGCAATTTCTTCGTGATCATCCAGGAATGCAGAAATGCAAGTACAGGTAAGTTAATACATTGTGTTAAAATTATAAATCATTAGTAAAATTTGAGTTGTATGACAAACCTGGTTTCTACTCCACACTTTTTTACTTCTGATTCCAACAACCCGCCATCACTGTCATTTCCCAGGCCTCCAAAGAACACACAAAACTGAGGCTGTTTCACGAGAGCTTGAACGATTCTCAGGGTGTTCTGTACACACCCTCCAGGGCTTTTCCTCACTTCATGGTTCTCCCTGAAACAGTATAAAAGACTATAGCTTTAAATGGAGTGGCTAACAGTACCGCACACTGCCCCATCAATTGATGATGGAGACAAGGATGTTTAGGTGCGGGGCAGAGAGATGCTTACTCAGTACCTTCCCTCCATTCGAGAGATTTCTGAGGAAGCAGAAGTTGTCCACCGCTAATCAATATAAAGTTTTAAATATCAATTTTTTTTATAAAAGGGTTCTTTTTTGCTTTATGCTCTCCATCCAACAACTAACAACAAGGGTACGGTAGGTATGGTTTGATCTCTTTATGTAGTTCTCTTTTCTCCAACACCAATGTCAAACTGTCAGAGAGCTTCAGAAAGAACTTAGTATCCAACCCATCCCCTTTATCTTATCTAACGGCTTTGACTATTACAGTAGAGTCCAGCAAACTCTGCGTAATGTGGACTGGAAGGGTGCCGAGTTTGTGAAATGCCGGGTTATCGGGAACTAGGGTTACAAATAAAAACAATAACATTTTTAAGCCTTTTACCTGCCTTCTTACTTTATGTTTAGAAAACAAGTCAGTATTAAGTCATCAGATATATGGTACAACGAATCCTTTTTACGAGTTGCGAATAATTTGACTTGAGCTGGCTTGAGTCTATGTGGAATTTGGACTCAAAAAATCACTAATTTTCTGAGCCAGGTAATGGCCGAGTTATCCAGACTGCCGGTTATCGAGTGCCGAGTTTGCGGGACTCTACTGTAATACAACAACTAGACGTTTGCCCCATGTTAAAGATGTAGCCAGGTTTTTAATAAAATTTGTCTTAGTTGATGTGAGCCACCTACAGAACACGCTGATCTAAATTACTGATTTCTGCCGATTACATTATGGTTTTTACCAAGTTAACGGTTAAAGCAATCAATAACTAAGATAAAGATCGGTTATCAAAGTACCAGAATCAAGAATGTTAACTTAATTTGGAATCTCCTTGTCACTAATTTTATTTAGGGAGGTATTCTAAACTTAAATAAAATCATTGGGTTGCATAAATCAGCCTCAAATATTGACTGTAAAAATGTCCATATCATCATCATCCATAGTGTAGCCAAGATTCCAATACATAGTTACTCAATAGAAGAAATAGGCTAATAGACTTTAAGTCCTACACTCATTCGAATGAAAAATATCGATCGATATATCGATTGTTTCATTCGATATATCGTGTGTTTAGTTAGGTAAGGTTAACCTAACCTAACTAACCAAACGATATCTCAAATTAAACAATCGAGTATTTTCGTTCGGATGAGTGTAGGACCCAAAGATATTTTCGTTCGGATGAGTGTAGGACCTAAAGTAAAGTGCAGCCTTTTACCTGTCCAGAAACTTCAACATTTCAGAAATATCATGTTCATTAACCTCACATTGCCCATCAGGTTTGAGGTTAAACTTTTCTAGAATTTCATCAGATTTAATCAATGCTGAAATATCAACTAGAGGATTACCAAAACCTGCAAATACATGCTTTTTATAAAATAAATCTTGGTTTAAATAATGCATGTTTTATCATTATTGTATATACAGGGAAATAGAATAGTTACAATAATTATTCACAACTAACCTAGCACACACAACACAATGAGTCAAACAAATAACAAATACAAAGCAGACGATGTGCAATAACAACAGCGGTGGGGCACACGGGAGGGTAACATAGTGTCAGCGTTCGCCGCTAGAACTGCTAATTTGAAAAAACTGAAATTATTTGTTTTTTTTAATTTTTAGTTATAAAATTAACTTTTTAATTATAAAATATTGTTTTAAAATTATAAAATTAATATTTAATTTTTAAAATTAAACTGTCATAACATAACCTAACCAACCAGACTTGCTGATAATATAAAAACTATATAATATAAAAATCTAATTAATGATTACTTCTAATTTTTAATTAATTATAAAATTTATTTTATAAAATTAAACTGTCATAACCTAACCTAACCAACCAAACTTGCTGATATGAAAAATTTGTTGATAAAAAGTTAGTGCTGCCAGCGGGATTCGAACCCGGGATCTCCTGAACATGAATCCGAAGCGCTACCAACTATGCCACGAACGCCGCTGAAAACACATCGTTTCGTTACGGTAATCGTGTTGCCTCAAGAGAAGACATTAGCTACTAGAGATATGACGTCATTACACCTTTAGCCTTAGTCCCTTCCGTGTGCCCATTCCATAACAACAGTGGGAATAACAAAAAAAAGAACAAAGAAAAGAAGTCGTGTAGCTGGTTTGACCAACCTAAGAAACCTATTTTATAAATAAAATAATGGTGTATTATTGTATATTAAATATGTTTACTTTTCGAAAAGTTCAAACTCAATTTTGATCAAAGTTTGAACCCTCCATATTTTATGTTAAGTAGATACACAAATGTTTCCTCGAATAAACATGTTTTACAATATTCATTATTTCCGTTATTCATTCATCAAATTCATTTATATTAATTTGCATTTATAGAAGGTAAACAGTACATTACCCTAAACACCATCATAAATTTGTTTTTAAATAGGAAATAAAAAATTTAAAATTCCTTGAAGAGTAATAGTTTTAAGGACTTTCAAAAATAGCTTAATTTCCACCTCTGACCTGGAGAACTTTAAGTTGTGAAGTTGTCAACAGTAATTTAACCAACAATTAGCTGAAAAATAACCTAGTAAAGTAAAAAGATTTACATGAAAGAAAATATTTGACCTTCCGAAATTTCGTCGTAAACTGCCTTGTATTTGTTTGAATAATTTTTCAATTTATGCTTTGAATAATTTCCGTTATGTTGGTAATAGGGTAGTTGTCAGCTGAAGTAGCATTTTGGCGGGTTTTGAGAAACTAAAACTTTCTGTCTGCCTCGCCTGCTGCAGTCTGCAACTCTAGGTACATTATTTTTTTTTGTTTTTTACCATTTCACGTTGTCAAAACTCGAAATAGGTAGGCCTACCGTTCTTCTGTTATGTTATGTTGTTATGTCGTAAATTCTGATCTGAAGTGTTGTTTCTTGTTTCGTTGTTTGTTGTTTGTTGATGCCGTTGACGAATTCTGCTTTTTTACTTTTTAGTTTACACCTCCAGTCTGAATTGTTCACATTCAAGTTAAGGTAGTTCGTGATAAAAATTGTTAGTTTTTTTGGAAGGGTAAACTTCATAATGATCAACTTGTACAGATACAAATCTCATTATTTTTCAATTGAAAATATTTTGGCCTCTCAAGAAAGGGTTCCTTGTAAATTTACAAAGAAGATTTTAAACATGGGTAAGTAGGTAGTTCATTAATATGATGTAGGTAAAACAATGTAGTTCTAGTGTGTAACTTATTTAGACTGTTCCTACAAACAGTCTATAGCCAATAAGTTAGCGTCTCAGATTTCACTCCAATAGGAATGGATTTGATATCCAGCTCACCCACAAATCATATGGGTATTGACCGATTCCCTAAAAAGCGTAGACAGTGAAGCCTAGTTTACATGGGTCGAGTACGGTGGGCAAGTCAGTGTGAGAGTTGCCACTCACTTGATGTAGACAGGCAGGTGAGTCGAGTACCGGTAACGGGCGAGTTGGTAAAAAGAGGTAGGCCTAGGCTAAGTTGAGAGTGAGTCCAGTGTAGGAAGTAGAAAACCGAGTTGCTCAGCCCAGTAATTATCCCCACCACCACAATTTACACGTGAAACATCGGTGTACTGCTGTCAAGTGAGTCCAGCGACCAAAAAATTAAATTCATATTTTTTATTCTGGGGTCGCTGAGTGAGTCAGTATTTAGTTCAGTTCAAACTTCAGAGCTGCCCTACTCACTCGACACTCAATGGTTCAGTTGAACTGTTTAACTGGAACAGTTGACCCTGTGTTCTGTGTTGAATTTTGCATTGTCTTACTGTGCGTGAATCTATTCTTATAAAATCCGGTTTTAAAAATCTTTGTACAACTAAAGATTTGAGGTTCTACTGGACCGATTTTATTAATCAATGGGTAGTAAGAAAGCTCACTCCCTAAACATATACCGTACGGTGTACCGTAACATATATCGTAACAGTGTTTTCACATTTTTTATTTGGAGGCAACTTTTGGCTGCATTTATTGAGTATTTCCAAGAAATGCATTACAGGAATTTTGTAGCAAATTGTATTCTCTTTGACGTGCCATTAAACTCAAACAACATTTTAACACGTAAGCTACGGTAACCGGAATGCCCTACACTACACCATAGAGAAGTAATAAAAATTACTTCTCTATGCCTACAATGTCCCTGTCAGAAATAGGGATGCGTGTGGACAGTCTAGTCGAGTATTCGGCGAGTTGAACAAATCAGCAACTGGGCCAAACAACTCGCCTTCTAACTTACACTCGACTCGTGTATACCAGGCTTGACAATTATTCAAATTCATTATTTCAGCAAACTTGTCTGGTTGGATGGATGGTTTACAGGGATGGGAAACCATTGCCTAGAACTGTCCCTAGTTTGACTATCTAGTCTTACATATAACGCCAAATGCTGAAAAAGTATGTGGACATTTTTTAGCATAAAGAAGGACATTGCTTCCATTTTTATTGTATCAGTTATGTAGGCCTACTTTGTTTGTCATTCAGAGGGGATTTGTACTTCTGCTCAAACAGAATATGGTTTAGGTTTTAAATTTTGTGTATTCAACACCATTGTGAGTCTATCTGAATTGTTGCTCTGACAGCTGCATACAAAAACACCTGTCAGAATTCTCAGTCCTATCAACATATGACTAATAACTTAGCCTACTTTACTTTTAGGGGTTATAAGTTATCAAACAATGTCATAGATGACACACAGACCTACACTCTGGGAATCTAGTGGCGGCCATGTAGCAAGAGTGGTGACACATGGAAGCGGTTCCGTGCTAGGCGCCTCTTAAGCTTCAACACTTTAATAGGGGTCCCGCTAGTACAGTAGCCTACAGGGGTGGGAGGAGGGTAAAATGATGTTTAATCGGCCCCAAGGAAGAGCCGTGTAAAGCTATTTCATTATTTGATTTGTTTGACATATTTTTGTTGTGTTTGTGTGTATGTCTTATCAATGTCAATGATGGATCTAGCCAAATGGGCTTAAATTTAGTGATCCAGAGGCTAAATCACCATGAGTATGGTTAAGTCAAATTTAGACTGATTACAAACACTATGGAGTGGATTCTATGTTACATTTTCAATACACCTAGTCAAACTAAGATGCAAAGAGCTTACACACAAGACACTAGACTTATACAAGATTTACTCATTTCTGCTCTAGTCCCATATTAGTTAAAGAAGCTACAAAATCTAACATACCGGTATGAATTTTTCAGGCCATCTAGATCCCAGTTCGGAGACTAAAGACATGGAGCAAGGAACATCACTAGAGTTGCCTTACTGGATTGTCAAAACGTTGTCTAACAGGGAAGTCAATGTTCTTGAAGTTGAACCTCCAAAAATATTTAAAGAAAATTATAGGTAAGAGTTAGTTATTGAATTAGGCCTAATCATCCTCTTCAGCAACTATATTTAATGTAGGCCTACTAATGATTTTTTTTTGTTTAACACGTTCGCTACTGCAATAGAACAAAATTTGTCATTCACGTGGACCAGCGACGCACATATGCGTCGGCCGGGTTCCACCCATAGACTGCCGTCGCATATTTGCGTCGGGGTTCTAATGTTATTAAAATGCTTATATCTTTGTAATGGTCTATTTGAAGGCACTGAATTCCCTGCAGTGGTCTACAGAGATGTGTGACACACAACTGCGTCGCTTGGGCTACGTACACATGGGAGCGTTGCAACGCGCGTTGTAACGCGCTTCAGATAAGCCTTTGCGTACACATGACAGCGTTGCAACGCGCGTTTGAGCAATTGTCTCATGGAATGTCTCGGCATAGCCATAAAAGTCGAAAATGTAGTTTTTACTAACCTTTCTACTAACTTTTTTGTAAGGGAGTTGCACTATGTATATAAAGAAAGAAAACAAAATCAAAATTCCCCCGTTGCAGCTTAATTTAATATTTCAATTATAAAATATTAAATTAATGATGTTTTTAGAGAATTTCCCATACAGGGAATAAGCTATTTGCCTTTGTGGACATCAAAATGAAAAAAGTAAAGCGATCCCGGGTAATTGTGTCGGAGGAAACTCCCTAAGAACACTTTTTACAAGAAAGTTTAGCTCTATGTTTTTTTCTTTTTTACTCTGTAACCTAATCGAGTATATGAACGTCAGCTTTTAAATAATAAATCATGCTAATTGCTTATTTTAACGAAAGTTAAAGTCTGTCTAGCACCGTGTGAGAGCATTAGGGATCGGTTTTCAACAGAAGAGAACATCCTAATTACCATAAGGTATTGTATAGCCTAATAGAAGTACTCAGTAAACATACATAAAACCTACTCCCCTCTACTCCAAAACGCGCGTTACAACGCTCACATGTGTACGGTCCCATTAGAACCTTCGTAACTCGAGGATGAACCTCTGAGGCGCGCGTTGGCCGAAGCACTGGCGCTGCATGTGTACGCACTCATTTGATTGCTGTGTTTCTAGGACGAGCGTTGCGACGCGCGACACGTAACGCGCGTTGCAACGCTCCCATGTGTACAGGGTCTTGGTCTGTGGATATGATGATTGGTGACGTCATATGATAGTTGGAAAAACTGGTCTTTACTTTTCTGCATCACTGTATGTATGTATGCAGTATGTATGCTGCATTATCCTATGTAGCTTTTATATTTGTTCAGTTATAAACTGTTCTTGATCAATCTGTTTTTTATTTTACTTACTTTCACCTCAAAACACAAAATACCCCCGCCGCAGCAAACCTGCCGATTAAGCGAATTTCCATTTGTCTGTATTGATTTTCAGTTAAATATATTTTAATAACAATAGGTTTAACGAGTACCTAGGTTTGCTGCTACAAGGAAACTAATAAAGTGTGTTTTTGAGTAAAATATTGATAGCTTAGTAGAAAATAAATAAATTTGCCAAGTTTGATCAAAATATATTCATAAACAAGCAAACTACAACATTTGACAATATTCTCCATAAGAATAACATGGGAGTTTTAAATTTACAATTATTTTAATTTTCTCCGTTACTAATAATCGAACAAAAATACTTTCATATACTAAATTATTTGTTTTTTTAAGCTCTTTAAAAAGGTCTAAAGAGAAATTGGGAAATTTGTGTTTTGAGGGTCAAAAGTGAGAAAAACCAATTTTTACCCCATAAAACCCCCCGTAAAGCCCCGTTCCCATGGTCCGATCATGCTGGTTTGCGAACTCATACAAGTTTATCCCGCTTTACACCTTTAAACCAAATTTCATCAAAATCGGACAAAAATTACTCAAGTTATCGCGTTCACGGACGTATATATATATATATATATATATATATATATATATACATATATATATATATATATAAGTCTATATATATATATATATACATATATAACAATTTGAATTAATAGTGTTTTTGGCCTCTGGGGACATCAAAATGAAAAAGTAAATCGGTCCCGGGTCTAGGTCTTACCGTGCCACCTACGGTAATAGCTACTTCCCTATAGGGAAATTCGCTAATTCCCTATAGGGATATTCGCTAAAATGAACTGTCGCATATATGCGACGTTTGGTCTATTTCAAGAAAACTATGATAATTTTCAGTATTGTCTTTGCTGTAGACCGGGTGTCGCAAATATGCGACATTACAAAAGGTTATTAATAATACAAAAAAACAAGAATACATTATTTACAAACAGGATTGTAGCGTATTACAATGTAAATGATCACTGTTTTACAGGTTTTCGTCCGTGGTCTGTGTGTAAGATTCAAACGTATACCTCGGTCTGTGGCAATGACTGCGGCGTCGCATATATGCGACGCTCAGTAGCGAACGTGTTAAATCTCTACAACACTATTTGAAGTTACCAGTAACAGTACTTATTTCAAGAACTTGAAACAATGTCAAATGCATCATCTGTGTATGCCTAATTGCTTAAGGATAAATACAAATCTTGAAAAATTCTCGAATCTTATATGGAAGGGTTTCATTAAAGACCTGTTTTGAATTTGTTTGAAATTAATTGTTGACAAAACTATTAAAGCATTTGATTTCACAGGGACATCTTAAAGGCTGATGCAAATGTTGTGGATCTGCACAAAATGTGCAAGTTTTTCTACCAGTTCGGCAAACTGCTGTCCTACATCGAGACCTGGAATGGGAGAGAAATCCGCAATATGCTTGTGGAGGTAATCCGGTGATTAATGGTTAACTTGAGTATTTCATTTTATGCTGATGCGGTTATGTTTAGTAGTGGACACACTTCAAATCGTTATCATAAGCTCTAACTTGGGCCTGAATAAGTATTTAGCTACACAGTCATTAACTCATATCTGGAATTCATTGGAAATGTTGAACTTATTTTGTTTGTTTTGGTTAATCTATTATCTATTATTGGATGATGTTGGATACCTAACCTAACTCGACCATTTTACAATTATCACCACGCAGGCCTTCATCCTCTGTTGAATGTTTTTTTTTTCATTTTGATGTAAGACATCTCCCCTATTTAAACTGTGTTCGACTTATCTTTCAGTAAATAGGTACCATACAATAAGAGTTTTACTTTGTCAAGGGTATCAATTAAGTAAATATTCTTTTAACGTAGTTCATTGCTGTAAAGATTTTCAAAACCTACAGATGTGGTAAATAACGGAACTCGACCTTCTTTGGCGCATTTATACTATTACTAAAATAAGGATGGGAACAGAAGTCGACCAAATTCCTAGAAAAGGTTGGTTAAATCAACCAGATTCAAAATTCTGGAAGAATAAACTGACCTCTATTTTTGTCCTGCCAGAGGTTGGTTAACCTGAGTAGTCAGAACCGGGACATTTTTGAGATAATGTAATAAATAACATTTCTAATGGTTTTTTTAGCGAATTTCCCATAAAGGGAATAAGCTATTACCGTAGTACTCATGGTAAGACCTGGACGCGGGACCGATTTTTTTTTTCGTTTTGAGGTCCCTAGAGGCCAAAAACACCATCCGTTCAAATTCATATATATATATATATATATATATTTATATATTTATATATATATATATGTGTCCGTCAGCACGATAACTCGAGCAAAAATGATCCGATTTTGACGAAATTTGGTACAAACGTGTAAACGTACGTTTATTCGAACGAGTTCGCGATCCAGCATGATCGGACCATGGGAACGGGGGTTTACGGGGGGTTTTATGGGGTAAAAAAAGGTTTTTCCCATTTTTGACCCAAAAAACATCAAATTTAGCAATTTCTTTCCAAACCATTTTGTAGAGCTTAAAAAAACAAATAATTTAGTATATTGAAGCGTTATTATGCGCCTAATGGTTACAGAGAAAATTCCAAAAAATTGTAAATTTAAAATTCCCATGTTATTCTTATGGAGAATAAGTAAACTGTTGTAGTTTTTGCTTGTTTGTGAACATATTTTGATCAAATTTGGAAAATGTTTTTATTTCTTACTAACTATTCACATTTGACAAAAAACAGTTTTACCCTCCCTGATGCAGCAAACCTAAGTACTTGTTAAACTAGTTCTATTTAAATCTGGAATAAATGTTATATTTTTAAGTAGACATTTCAGTGTAAATCCAATCAGTCAAATGGAAATTCGCTTAGTCTGCAGGTTTGCTGCGGCGGGGGTATTTTTTTATGAGGTGTTGTTCCACAATGTGTCTGTAGGCTACAAACCAAAAATTCATATCCTTTTTTTTATAATGTAAAATTATCACACTCCAGCTGATCTAATTCATCCCTTTCTCTTAACAATGACTTTCTAGTCTACGAAGTGAACACAAACCAGCAATGTACTGAGTGTGGTAAAAAGCACGTTTGTTTGCAAGATGTTTGTCTACAAACAAATCACAGGAGCTTGTTATCTTGTAAAATGACTTGAATTATTTTAATGTAATTGACCGTGGTTTGTTGTGTTGCAGACTTTCCGCAACAGATTCCGTCAGTTGATGGACTGGGCTCAGAACATGTCAGCTGATCAACAAATCCTGGATACATTGGACCATCTTGAGAAACAGGTAATGCATTACAGCAAAACTGGTTTAACCCTGGATAACTACTGTATGCATTTACGACTATGTATTAGTTGCCAAACTTTTGCAATTTAATAACCATACTGTTTCCACACTCTTGAAATTGCTGTTAGGCATTCTTAGTATACATCTAGTCAGTGGCAGATCTAGAACAGTCACAAGGGGGGCAAACCGAGGGGTATGGGGGGTTTGTATATTATTAAAAAAATTTTTATAAACTTAGTCTCCAAAATAACTGTTTTACACCATTCTTTGTTAAAAGTTAGTGTGACAAATTATTTGACGCAATGTGTATGCACTACTGTATTACATGCAGTAAATATAATATATATATATATATGAGGTAATATATATATGTGTGTGTGTGTGTGTGTGTGTGTATGCCCGAGGGGACTGCATCTAGTTGCTTGATTGATTATTCTATAATCCAGCAATTCTGGAGGCTACAAAAATAAATAATTGTTTTTGTTCCGCAGGTGTTAACCCACGCTCGTGAAGCTCAAGCTAGACAAGACAGCTGGTTGGCCTGCGGAGTCAGTATGATCGTAGCAGCAGAAATGATCGTCAACCACAAGAAACGGAAACTGTCAGCCCTTGATCTACGATAGGTTAGATTTTAGAAAGCTTTTAAGTATTTGTAATTGAGTTTTAAAAAGAAGAAGTGTACAGTTTTTTTAGGCTGAAATTATGAGGATATAGCTTTAGTTAGGGTTGTACTAGTTTCAATTAAACATTGTTTGATCTATTGTAATACAAGAAGTCTGAGATGGGTCAGATTAAATGAAAAATCCAAATTTCTCTTGAACTAAACCAAATTTACTAAGGCAATAACCAATCTTATGGGCATATACTGCCCATTGTAACTTTCCACTGTCACGATAAACTGGAAACATTTCTGCTCCTGTGTTAATTGTTGTAACCAGGTTTTAAATACAATATTCTGTGCTGCAGTAATGATATTTTTAAAATTTAACATACTTTTTCCTACAGTTACCTAACAATGTACATGTTCTCTCACTGATTTGAGAAAGCAAAGTGGCCAATTCGCTCATCAGTAAAACAATGTTCACATTGTCTCACTCTAAAAATACTTTGTCTCACTCCAGATTTGCAACGTGAAGGCACAAAATAGTGAGCGCGTAACATGCAGACAAGGCTGTATGCGCGCAAAATACGTTGGCAGCACTGGCTGTAAATCAGCTGGTCAGCTGTTGTACTGTTGTATCATTAAATGTCATATTAAATGTTCACTTCTGTGTAAAAATATGTCACGTTTCTTTACCAATTCATTTGTTTTATGGTAACTGTAGGAAAAATATAATGTGCAACTCGAGTGCAAAGTGCAATTGCTCACTAGTTTCACAAATAACTATTGGATAGTATTGGCCAGAATCTATGAGTTTTTAAAACTTCGAGAATTTTTTTAAAACCTGTATTAATATGGTAAAAAAACATTGTATTTGTATGGATGTAGTCAAGTTATTTAAGAATTTTATGGTACATACATATATATTTTACTAGCAGAGTACCCGTCCTTCGTACGGGGCTTGCATATAAGTATAAAATGCTTATTGCAGTTATGGGACAGGACACGGTTTAAGAAAATTTGGTTCTTTTAATTTATACGGTAGGCTATAGCATAACACATCTACCTTAGCCATAATGTTCTACCACTGCACCTAAACCGTAGGCTGCGTTTACATTGGGGGCACGCTTGGGCAAGTAAAATGGTGGCGTACACTTGGCTAAGCTTGCCCTTTGAAACAAAATTGTAGCAGATTACTGGAAATCAGTGGTATTGTCCAGTCATAGTTACAGTGCTCGCCACTAGTAAGCGCACGCTGGGACTAGCTTGACCTCTCAAATCTCGAAACAAATAAATTTGTTTTTGAAGCAAGCGTGCTTCAGTTTGAAGCAAGTTCACTGACAAAGTAGCATAGGTTGTGTATCTGAAAACTGTTGTTTTTTATACTTAAGTGTTGTTATAAGTTGTTCAATTGTTCAAGATGGATACAAAGGCATTGATTGATACAGTTCTTCTTTTATAACTTTTTTATAGTTACAGCAGTATCATTGCTGTACGCTATTTGCAAATGAATTTTAACTTGTCAATCAAAATATATTGAATTTTTTTTCTATCAAAATAGACCTGTAATAATGCTATGATGAAAAAGAATTAAGCTTATCTAGGCTTATTAAAATTATACTGTTTTATTCAGTATGGTTATGTTTTTATAAAATAATTATTTATACAAACATTACATCGACTCCTACAGTTTCTCGTTCCCCCCAACTTGTTTGGAGTCTAATATAATACAAATTTAACTCCATTTTCAAGCACAATGTCCGCATCATCTGACATCTCAATTTTGACTGATTTGTGATGTAGGTAGTTGAAACAGCTGATAAAATTCTGTAATTCCTTTAACATATGATTACTCTTAAGGTTAACATGGGAAACTCCAGAACCACTGGGGCGGAGCCTGAAAGGATTTTTGAGATAAGAATATGCCTATAAGTTAATCGGGAATGTGAGCTATCATTAAACCAAATTTCAACCCTGTCCCTGTCGGCTTAGTATTTTTTGCGTTTACTTGTCACAAACATCCATCCAGTAGTATAGTAGGATTGAATTCAGTTTTTAAAATGTTTGGAGTTTTACTTTTCAGGAATATTTGGTTTGTTAGTAGTTTGCATTTTGTATGAAGCCATGTTCATTGTAACTCTTTTTCTTTCCTATTTTTTTATTTTTATTTTTTATTGGCATGCAAGTAGACTTTTCATCCTACTAATTGCTGAGTCTGAAGCAATTATTGTTTGTTTGATGTAAGGTAATATCTAGAATGTGTTTATGTCGACCAAGTGCTTTCTTAAAGGTATGGTATACTCTGTCGGTGATAATACCTGGAGACAAGCGATAGTTTACAAATACTTTATACTTTTTTATACTTTTCAATGAAATGGCGACCACACAAAGTAGGTATTTTAATCTTGTAGTCTTGTTAGTGACTAAGGCCGACTTATTCCTTAGACACAGCTGTTAATTAATAGCCCATACAGCTAATGGTAACTAAGGGACCTACAGTTTATAGTGGAATCCGAACCACATTTTTGCCTTGGTATATACGAATTCCCGAATTGGTCTAATTTTCAGGATACTACTGCGGATAGTCGTAGTACTCACTCGTGCGGACGTTAATCCACACCAGGGAATATCACATCCACAGTGCATGCCTATAAATATCCACAATTTGTAACCTCCGTAATATTACACTGGGTGAGTTTTTGAGCCGGACGTAAACACTTTTTACATCTGTCGATCAGAAAAATACCTGAAAATAAAATTGTCTTCTGCTGATTGATAAGAATGGCAAATCTGCAGAAGAATATTTTAATTTTATAGTATGAGCCTTATAATTCTCAACAGGCAATTTAAAAATATAAATATGCAAATTGTGAAGAAAATGATTGTTATTAAGTTGGTAAAACAGAAAAAAATGAGTAATCGTTTTTGTCAAAAACCCTACTAATTTCTGGTTTTATTTGAAGTTTTCCTAAAGCTTTTTTAGTTTTCAAAGCTGTATGGCCCATCATGAATTTATCGGTTGTACGTTTTCTTTGGTCTCAAAAGCTCGCTTGCTATCCATTAACTCAAGTGTTATGAAACCGATACTTTTGTTTAAAAAACATTTATATACATTATAATTTAAGAACAGATTATACTGATTAAATCACTGAAAATAAATAAATAACAAATTTAAAAATTTAATTGACTTGAAAATGTTTTCAAACACTCACTTGTTAGGCTATGTTTAACTGTTTATAATTGCTGTGATAAAATTATGTCCATTTAATAAAAGGAAATATTTTTATATATTAGCCTACTGTTATTATTTCCTGTTTAAGCTCATCCAAATGTAATACATAACAAATTAAAAAAAATGTTGAATGGGATGTAAAAGAAAGGCAGCATAACTTCATAAGCTATTACTCACCTAGTATATATGAAGGTAATGCAGATTGTCTGACAAAAACTTGTTCTAAATAAACAAAAATTCACATCCTATGTCCTGATGAAGACTTCCTACGAGAGTCAAAACCAGGTAGCCTGTGTGGACAGACTATAAGAGTGGTTCCAGCAGTTAAAAGTATAAGCATAAACAAAATCTTTTCTTCATAAGAAATACATTGAGATTTTGAGTGCCTGTGGGGCAAAGTCCGAGGACTTTTATGACAGGAATTGGTGAAAAAGGGCATCTACACAAACAATACTTCATTTTGACACATCGTTTGTAAAAATCCGTCCAATATTAACGGAGGAGTAGTGTTTCGTAGAAATCGCCTTCACGTATTATATATAAGGATTTAAACCACTATTATATTATTCTTTTCACTCACTACCCATGTTTATATGGGGTTGATTAGTTTAGATTAGGATATCAATAAATAATACACGAAACAATGTTCAATATATTTATTACATCGAGTATCAGAACATTAACATAAAAAATCAACTATCTACAAATATTTATTGAGCTAATTTAAAACAAATTAAACTTTGACAAAGACACAAATAAAAACCTTAAAGAGTTGACAATAATCGACTTGCCTTTAGACCCTGTTTTACTCAACTACAATATTCACTATTATTGTAGTTCCAAGAGTTTGTGAAGCAAAGGCATAGTGGTGAATTGAGAATAGACACTTGTACAAAACGTACTACAAAGATTACAGTTACACAAGGCACTTAGAAATATAAACAACACTATGATTTCATGGATGGATGAAATAATTTGTATTGCGTCAGAAATTGTAAAATCAATCGGAACTTTGGAACAAAATTAATCAAATTACAATTGAATAATGTTACAGTATTTATTTTATATAATGGAACATAATTCTAATTCCCTTTTTGTGATAAGTCAATAAAAAACTTTTTTAAAGAATAAAGTAAACTAATGTTGTCGACAAACTGCATTAGCTGCAGTTAATAAATAATCTTTAAAATCAACATCGATTTTGAAAAAAGTCTACATCATCTTTGGCTTAGAGTAACAAACATGTCGTTTACGTGTTTATAAACCAAACCGATCTAGAAAACTTGACCAGGTTTACTCCACACTTAATAAAAGTAATACTATTTTTATCACAGTACAAATAAACATAAAAATGCAATCTCTATTGTTTTCAAACGGCAGCCGTTAAAAAAAATATACTAAATATCTTACATAGCCATAAGCTTTAACGGCCACCATTTCAATACAACGAGACCATATTGACTATTTACGAATCAAATTCTGTGTAGTAAATCTGTTCAGAGCGTTCTAGACCGAGTTGAATCTGATGAAACACTTACACATGTTACTAAATACTGTTAGAAATAAAGTTTAAACTAAGAAATTCCCTGCACGATGACTGTGATACAACTCGAGTCTGCGAGTGACCCGACGAGTTTAACTAACTTTTACAATCTTTCCGGCCCCGAAGTTGTGACACAAACATATCTGGCTTTTACTGCAAAAATAAATAAATTATTTCTTCTATAACGAAATAAACACTCTAAGTAAATAATATGTAAATCCTTAAAGTAACCCTAGGGATAGTTCCGTTGAAGGTCAATAAGTCAATAGGTCGAGTCCCCCTCCAAACTGGGCTCCTGTCAACCACACAAGTAAGTTTACTGGTAGTTAATTAGTAACATCAACAAAACTTAATCAATAGTAATTACTATCATTATCATTACTATTATTACTTATGATACTGAATGTCAGAACCAGTGCTAGCTCTCAGAGCTTAGGTCGTGTTGACCTGACCTGAAAAAATATGACAAACAATCCCAGGTCTGTGTCCAACAGAGTGGAAGAGGTGTTTTTAGTGAGTAGTCTGAGCAATTCAGAAGTCTAACACTACAGGTTGGCAACCTGTGTGTTTGAAAGCATTTTCCCTCCTCCCTTCAAAGAGAAACTACTGTACTTTTGAAATAGCATTACCGCCAGATGTACATTTTAAGTATTGTTTCCAGATGGGTGTTAATTGTGTGAGATGATGTGTGTAGCTTTGTTACTAACAGCTGATTCTTTAACCAATGATGAGCTTGAGCTATCCATTGAGATATAGATTATAACTGGAGTCACTACTCTCTGGTTAAACGTTAGAGAAAAACGTGCCACTGTTTTGGCTGGTTTGTTTTTGGTGTTTCGTGTTGTTAGGTTGGCCGTGTGATCGGTTGGTGGGATGCTGTCAAATAATTCCAATTAATTCTAACCTAACCATACTATTTATTTGGGGTTATGTTATCTGTTATTTCAAGGACTTGTATCAAAAACTTATTTAAGTTATTGCACGTTAAAACCTCTGTATTTAAAGTTATTTTGAAACATTATAAATTGTTTTTGTTTGGTAGTAAATAAATACTAACTTATTTACCTCTTTTCAAGCTATGTGGTGAAAATAGGCTAGTCATGTTTCCTGGTTTGGAGATATTGGTTTAGGCCAATAGCCCTATGGCATTTGATTAAATAACGACCATCAGATTATGATCTTGTTAAAATGGGTTGCTCTTGCTCGTAAAATAAATAAATAAACTTATATTGCAATCATAATGTTGAGTTGGCAGATTTTTGTTTACTATCATCAACAAAACAGGATGACGCCATCTTGATTTTGCCTCTCTAATTTGACAAGTCTCACCAACCCGATCACCCGGCCAACCTAATGAATCAAAACTCTGAAACAAAACCAGCTAAAAAAGGGGTACGTTTTTAAAACACAGAGTGGTTACTCCAGTTATTATTATAGCTCAGTGGAGCCATCAGCCCAAGGACGCTCTTATCCGAGACTTTGTTTCAGGGATGTAGTTTCAACATTAATGTTAGACAGCACTGGAATTATATACTATGAGTTTTGTGGATAGAAGGGATGAGGGACCAAAGGGTAGTTGCTATAAGTAGACAGAAGAGAGATATTGTCCAGACTAACAATGAAACAGATCTAGACAACCTCTTGGAGAACAATCAAACATTGAAATAGCAAAGTTACTTATAAAAATCTTTAAGGTGTAAAATATAAAATAAAAACATTCATTGTGATTGACCACCAGAGCTGTTTGATTTAACCATATCACATTTTTTGTCGCAGTTCTGTTTCGTGCTTTGTAGTAGATGGCATGGGTTCCTCTGTCAATCGATTTGAGGATTTTTAACTATTAAGTCTAGCCTAGTTGTCATTATTGTTTGTGTTATTGTTATTAGTAAGTTAAATCATTTCACAACATCGAAAGGTGGATAATTTTAAAACTCGACAGAAGCTGCAAACCAGTCATACACCACAAAAGACGAGTCGGAGCTATGACTGTAAAGTTGGTGCGTATAATAATAGAACCTTGCATACACAGTATTTTAAGACCTGTAAGTGCCAATAACTTTCCGAAAAGATGGATTGTACAAGCAATTTACCTGTTTGAAAGCCATCCTGTAGTCGGGCTGATTGAGATCACGCAGTATGGTGGAAGTGTCGTGTTCTGCCCCGTTGTGTTGCCCCGCCGGACTGTTGACGGGGCTCAGTGCACAGTGACTCTCAGGTGAACCCCCGCTGCTCTGGTAACTGCCTACGCTGTTGGTGCCACACTGTGCCACGCCTGCGCCAGCCCCACCATTGGTGCTCTCCGCACTAGCGCCTGCAACCCCCGATACAGGTGCTAGGAGTTGGTTCAGTCTAGGTTAGTACGTTTATTGTTGTTGTTATTTACAAGTAGGAGATTTAGGCTATTGTGAAATAACCCAAAATTTAGCCTTACCCACAAATCAAAATTTTGTTCAGCCAAGCTAAATATGAGCTTAATTAGATTTTTTCTTAGTTTTGCAAAGTTTTTCTTGATTGGAAATACAATGTTGTCTGTAAATAAGGTCTCTAACTAGCTCCAGTTACAGTCAAGCAAGCGATTTCAAATCTAACTCCAGCACCCTTACTACCATTTTACTCGTTTCCCACCCTCATGAGACAATTACTCTTTATCATACAACTGATAATGGCATGAGAGAAAATTGACGCGTCCACCTAATATGTATTGCAGTCTGTGAACAATTCTGCGTAAAGGGGGCTAATCACTGTCCTCTATTGGAATTTAAATACATTTCTTGTGTGGATGTGGAAATCCCTGGTGTGGATTAACATAGTAACTAGTGAGTACTACGACTATCCACAGCACTAACCTGATAATTAGTCCAATTCATTAATTACGAGGCAAAAATTTGGTTTGGATCCCACTATAAACTTTAGGTCCCTTAGTTGCTATTGGTTGTATTAACAACTGTGTTTAAGGAATATGTCGGCCTTAGTCACTAACAAGAGTACAAGATCGCGCCACTCATCTGGATTCATACTTGGCTTAAAAAACCTACATTCGTATGGTCGCCATTTTAAAGTAAAGTATTAAAGTATTGTTAATAATATTATATCATATAAAATAATAATTATATAGTAATAACTAGCTGACCCGGCGAACCTCGTATCGCCTAAGTTATAGGTTTCCCCTAAGACAGACCGATGGAAAGAAAGTACCGTTACGTTTAATTTTCAAGATGATCTCGTTCGCATCGCTCAATCACGTCCGGGTTGAAGTTTGTTCGCTACGCTCACTCACCTTTGGGTTGGAGCTCGTTCGCTACGCTCACTCACCTTTAGGTTGGAGCTCGTTCGCTGCGCTCACTTGCCTTCAGGTTAGCTCGTTCGCTACGCTCACTCGCCTCCAGGTTGAAGTTCGTTCGCTACGCTCACTCACCTTTTGGTTGCAAATTAGCTGTTGTCATAAATGTAAAAGAAATAATAGTGCTGCACCCTGTTGGTAATCCTTGTAACTTTAATGCTATTGAACATCATAGAACAGAACCAACTTGTTTAATTGAAACAGCTGTTAAGATTCATTAATTCCATTTCTCATAAGGTTAACATGGGAAACTCCAGAGCCACTGGGGCGGAGCCCTTTTAAGAATTTCGAAACGGGAAATAGTTTACGTCCGATTCGCATACCTACAGAATTTACACACCAAATTTCATAACGATCGGTGAAGTCGTTCCGGAGGAGTTTGCAGACAAACACTGTGACACGAGAATTTTATATATTAGACTAGTGTCCCTGTTGCTCGAATTCGAGCAATTCCTAAGTATTACAGGCGTTATTTTAAAACGAATAACAGTCATAATTTCTCATGAATTTAAAAGATTCGACTCAAAGATTATAGAAATACTCAAGATGTACATAACAGATTATATCAAATTATCCAGGCTCTCTCGCTTTTTTCCATTGTAATATTTACGCCAACCCGAATTCAAATAGTAAATATTTCATTTCAACCAAGTCAGTAAATGTTTATAGCCAACTGTTAAATTAGCAAACTTATTGAATGTTTCCAATTAACATATGTTCTTCTTCTCACTTTTAATTTCTGACAACAGCTGGAGTTTCATAACAATTTTTGTTTCCCATGTTAATCTTATGGAGAAATACGAAACTTTAAAGGGCCCCAGGGCCTCACTCTCTTATTATTTCCCTAAAAAGAAAGTTTCCTGCACAACTTCAAGTTACGCTCTTTCCAATGACATCAAAAACATGTCAATCGGTTCAGTAGTTTCGGAGGAGTAATTGTCACAAAAAACCTGCTTGCGTATTAAATAAGTACTAGTGTACATGTTGCTCGAATTCGAGCAATTAGGATTTGCAAACCAATAACAATCATTCTAAGCTGTCCACATTTCAACAAAAACACACCTACCTTCCCTGTAGCAGCAAACCTAGGTACTCATATTAAAATTAACTTATTGTTATTTATGTAGGAAACAATGACCATTTTCAGGGAATATGTTTGTAGAAATTAAGCCAGGTAAATGGAAATATTGGTTTGCTGCGGATGCACAGTTTTAATAACAACAGCAATGATTGTAGAATCTGAATTATTACTTATATCCATGAGTTTATCTAGCAATTATTTCCTGTAAAATATTGTTGTAAATGTAAAATAGCAGCTAAAAAATATTGGACAGACTCGGTTAACAAATGACGTAACTGAAAGAATCCCATACTAATGACATTAACATATAGTTTGACAGTAGTTCCATTTAATCAATGTTAAATGTTTACATTCGGGCGAGTGGCATATTTTATTTATGTTTATGATCCATACAGTTCCTGTTCTAATAATCATGCAGTATTTAATATATTTGGACCAGGTGTGTGGAATTTTGAAATCAAAATTAATTTGACAGTTAGTTCTGATCGTTTACATTTTTAAATTTTGTGGGTTTGTTCTTTGTTACCATGGATACCATAAATAAATATTTCACTTTTAATTTCTGACAACAGCTGGAGTTTCATAACAAATTTTGTTTCCCATGTTAATCTTATGGATAAATACGAAACTTTAAAGGGCCCCAGGGCCTCACTCTCTAATTATTTACCTAAAAAGAAAGTTTCCTGCACAACTTCACGTTACGCTCTTTACAATGACACCAAAAACATGTCAATCGGTTCAGTAGTTTCGGAGGAGTAATTGTCACAAAAATCCTGCTTGCGTATTAAATAAGTATAGATAGATATAGATATATAGATAATATAATAATAATAATAATATGTCATATTTTAACTCCCTTGCTTGGCTACGACTGAAGCTTGTTGGAGATCTATCTAAGTCATGAACAACCCTTGTACTTTGATAGAAGAGGAGTAAAGGAACATAGTTGGAATTACAAGATTCTTGTATAAAACTGAGGCGTATGACTGTACAGGAAAACAGAGCAGAATGCAATTTGGAGAAGTGCAATTTTTAAGGACAAATTAAGATAGGATAAAATGATCAGCATGTATTTGGAAGGTACAATGATACAGGTAAAGAAGAAGAAGGTTTTATAAAAAGAGTGGTATCGTATACAAGCATTTTGTAGCAAACAATTTTTTTTATGGACTATTTATATTTATATTTGAAACCGGTGAAATTGGAATGAAAAACCATATTATTAACAAGAAAACTATTCTACATGATATGAAGGTCACTATTTGTATAACAAATTTAAATTAAAGCCTAAAGATCCTAGAGAACTCCCAAAGATCATAGAAAAATGCTGCAAAAGTTTTATAAATGATTGTTTCAGTCAACTTAATTACCATGTTATCCATTAACATGGTTCTTCATACATTGTATATTATTGTTATGGTTTTAATAGTTTTAATATCTTGGTTGTGAGACTTACCAACAAGCATTGTGGTCATCATGATATTCTTGTCCATTCCTAACAAACACCAGATACTTGATCAACTCATTACATTCACCGATATCCCAAAGGTTAATGACCATGCTTGCTGGTAAGTCTTGATTAGTGAGTTAGAAGCAAACATAATTTTGAAATACTATAGTCTAGCATCCATAGGGGGTAGAGTACGCAATTAAAGTATGATGCATTTTGACTTCTGATTGTTATTGGGGGCATCTTGGAGATGACCAAAACTAATGTTGTTGCCCTCTCGCTGCTATTCCCCCTCCCCCAATGTTGTGCACCAGCAGGGAGGGTAACAACATCGGTTTTGATCACCCCAACAACAATCAGAAGTCAAAATGTGTTACACTTTCAGTGCATACTCAACAACCTATGGAAGCTGGACTAATACTAACAAGTGGGATTTTTATTGTGATAGTAGGCTTATCTGACTGGGAAATTTAACACCATACAAATAATTTAGAATATTTCACTGTCACTGACAGCATTTTTATTCAAGTATGAAGAGTTCATAGTGTTGTGTATAGTGAGTGGACTCTTTCTCATACAGGTAAGCCTGCTATCATACAAATACTAGGTTCTTTGCTCTATGTAACATCCTTAACCTCATATTAACAACTTTTGTATTTATAAATTGCCTTGTTAATTGCATAATTATGTTAGTCAAGAGATAGATTATCAAGAATAAACTAATGCCTATAGATATATTTGGTAATAAATTTCAAAATTTAGTTTTACTGTAACAAGAAAAATACACAAAAAAATTGGATGTTTCGTAGTTTGATTGAGAGAAGTAATAAGTTAATTTCTCTTGTTGCAGAATGCTCGAATTCCGAGTAAATCTTTGGTTGATTTATTAAATATTTGTCCAAAACATAATCACAAGAACAAATTACACTTAGACCGCTTATAATGATAGCATTATGCTCAATGTTTACTTCTCTGCGGTTTAAACATTTTTATCAACACATTTGATAGCACCAAAAATGTATTACTCCCTGTCAAAAATAAACCAATACCTATATTTCATTTCTCTTTGTAAAAATTAAAAAATAATGGACACCTTTTATACCGTATGACAATTGTACATTGTATGTAAACATTTACTGTGTGATTGAAACATAGACTAACCAACACAAGTAGATTTCTCGTCCCATTCTAAATTTTGAAGTTAGTTTTTCGTGTCTAGTTTATGTCCGGTGACAAATGATCGCTAGTGTTGACAAAACTTTGTTACTATTATTTTAGGTTAATTTCATGATTCGTGTTTTGGTTTTACTGTTTGTTGGCTAAATGAGGTTTTAAATGACTGAAATAACAAGAAAGAAATGTTAAACGAAACACGACCTCGACAGTGCACCGGACGGAAGTAACAATAAAATTGTTTTCAGCTGATCCATAAGAATGAGAAATTTACTAAGGGAGTATGGTTTATCTATGATTGAAGTCTCCTCAAACTAGGTTTAGAAGAAGTAAAATTTTCTCAATCATGTGACTTACTCCTTGCAAACATAGAGAAAATATGATATTTGATTTAAAACTGAACAAAGTAAACACAGTAGGCATCATCAATGTAAACTTGGTAATATTTACCTACTTGGTAAACATTGACTGTGTTATCAGTTAGTTACCAGAAAGATCATCAACAATGTTTGGGTTCAAAGTCCAAACAGCAGCCAAGAGACATCTGGTGTTTACAAACATTAACTTATGGATTTCAAGAAACAAGATTGCTCTATTTTTTTCCTTAGTAGATTATTTTTGTTTTTGTTTGGTAAATTACTCATAACTGGTTTGGTTGAGGAAAGTAGTTTATGTAGAGAATCAAATATTTCAAAACATTTTCTATCCTAAAATTTTTATTAGGAAATTCATATCACAGAATGATAACAGTGTAAAGTGTGTTGGAGTCAATGGTTGGACTTACAAAATATCAGTTGCATAACTATATGTTATCGGAACTTGGAAAATCATAAAAAACGGTAAAAAAGCCATAAACCGTTTGTTTATGGTGGTTAAGTAACTCAATGTATGTTTGAAAACAGCTTTAAATGCTTGCAAGATAGCTTTGGATTTGACGAGCCAAAACTAAAATACTTCATATAGCACATAGCTATAGTATAACCCCTCATTTCTGTTGCGAGTGGTACCAGATAAAACACATAAAAGGTTAGATAGCCAGAAAAGAATAATGCAAGGTTCAGAATGAAGTAAAATATGAGATGAGAGGAAGGCAAAGTCATTAAAGTGAGGCAAATACAACATTTAACTTAGTTGAAACTCATGGAAAATAAATTGAACCCATGTTGTTATTCAGAACGCAAAAAAATAAGCTGCAAAAGTATAATTGGGCAGCCAGAAGGCAACTAAAAGGCTCAGTAAATTGTCAGAAATAGTCCCACATACCAAGAAATGATTATCCTATCGAATAAGTGTACCGTACTGTACTCTTTTCGTCTTTTGTAACATAAAAATCACAAAACTCACCTCCTAGCAGCATTTCTTGCAGTAAACTGTCGATTCTGGCGACTCCGAACAGTTTGGCGAATTGAATCTGCTCAATCATTTGCCACGTGATGGACTGCAGTGCGGGCAACGTGAGCAGCAGTTCGCCGAAACGACCACGTGAGTCGTACTGTCGGTCGCTGATGTAGTCCTCCAGATTGATCTGTATCTGGTAACGCAGACTCTTTATGCGAGAAGGGTCACTTAAACCTTTGGCATCTGTAAACAATTAAGGCACCTTTGGTTAGGTTGAAAGTTTGATTTTGGCGGTAAGTTGATGTTTGAGAGATTATCGCAGATTCCATCATGATTAGTGAAAAACAAGTTTTCACAATTATCTGGAGTTGTAAATTGGCTTTAATAGGTTATCATCCTATTGACTATAGAAACAGCTCAAGTAAAGTTGGGATTTCTTTTTTGGTGATGGTTAGTTCATGTTCGAAGCAGTGGTCTAGTGGAGCAGGAACATATGTGGGAACAGCGTTCCTTTCCCACTGCTTTGTCTAATAGTCCTATTTGTTAGTCAGTTCTTAGACAATGGTGAGCATTCCTACATTGGACATTTTCGGATAACACCATTGGTTTGAGGTTATATATAAATGTTTTTTCATTACAACCAACTCAAATTATAAATTAAACAACATTTTGGGATCGGGAACCTGGAATCGATCCTCTTCTACAACCCAATCACTTTGGCTGTTAAAATAAACACAATGATTATTCTCAAATGTTGTAGGAATTGCAGTGAACCATTTCATCTAGAATAGCTAAGAGGACTATTGACTATTGACAGATACATATTTCGATTATGTTGTTAGGAAAATTTAGTTCTCAATAGATGTTGTTCGTAGTTTGTTTAACATAGCTGATGGACAACAAATGAGCTGATAAACATAAGTCTACATGTTGTTTAAGTCTCATCACTATTTAAAGTAAACACAAAGTTTAAATAAATGGAGAAGGGCAATTTTGCTACAATTCAAAAAATATTTTAACACACAAAGGTTTATCATTGCAATCACTAATAATCACTAATAAACATAGTACTTGCATGATGATGTGGCTTCTGGATCGTCTGAATTAACGTATAATGGTTTAAATTACCGTACCTTGTTACTGTCCAAAACGATCCTTTGTAGTTCTTAGTGACTACAGCTGTTTCGTGCTACAGGAGCACATCTTCAGGTCAGGCGAATGTCAAGCAGTAGTCATTAGATATTCCTTATAGTGGAGTTCGTCAAAAGTTTATCGTAAATAAATAACATAGACACGTCATAAAAACACAAAAAAACTGGTCAACCAGACGGTAACGAAACACGAGACAGTCGCAACTTGCTCTCAACCGGTGACGTATCACGTGTTTCGTTACCGTCTGGTCGACCATAGTGTTAAATGTTCAGTTTCGTGTTTTTGTGTTTTTATCTCGTGCCTATGTTATTTATTTACTATAAACTTTTGACAAACTCCACCATGAGGAATATCTAATGACTACTGCTTGACATTCTCCTGACCCAAAGATTTGCTCCTGTAGCACGAAACAGCTGTAGTCACTACGAACTACAAAGGATCGTTTTGGACAGTAACAAGGGAATTTAAACCACTATACCACGGTACTTGGATTGTTAAGTTTAATTTTTAAACATAGGCACCTCCCAAACATATACTTACTTGGGTCGAAGAAGACGATGGCTTTTAAGCAGGCAAACTCTGTGTCGTCTATCTGCACCTCCATGAAGGGACGGACTAGTTCATCCATCACTCGGGTACCAACTCGGGTGATGTCTAGGTCGGGTGCTATTCCAGCTTCTGTCGGGTGAAAAACATTTATGTCAAAATACAACGTAGAATTATACTTTGGGTGTGAAGTCTGTGAATGTCTGATAGATAATGTAGTATACAAATTTACTTTCCGTAAATATGATAACATGTACTATATTCTGATTAAGAAGTTATGCCATACATAAATAAATTGTGACAACAATAATAACTAACCAGTAGACACTATACATTTGGAATCTTTTGCAGCATTAATCAAAATATAGTTTCTACACTTTGCTTTATTGATCACAGGCTAAAAATTATGAAGCCTCGTTTTGTATTTGAATTAAATAATGATTTGAAATGGGGAACTTTTGAAAATTTGCATGTGAAACAAAAACTAAATCGAAATAATTATTTTAATGATTTAATTTTTGGTCCTTGATTAGTATATAGTTTTGGGGATTACATGGCGTCAAACAAATGCTCTGTGACTAAAGTAGGTTAAAATAGAAGGTTTGTGTTTTTAATGATTTACCTGCGCAATACCGGGTAATGACGCAGTTGTTTCCCAACAGAAGAACGTCTTTGAGGTGCATCGAGCGACGCGCCAGCCCCAACAACAGATGTTCCCCTGCGTGGGCTCTCAGTAAGGCTACCTACAACACAGCATTACATCAGGGTAGGAGAACATACAAGTACAACTCTTAATAAACTACATGGTTCTAGCAGCTAAAGAGAGTCGAATCTGGAGTCGAGTCTCGACACACAACGTACACGCATCCACATCGTCCTGCTGTGCACACATTGCAAATGACAAACAACGTTACCGTAAGTAAATCGTCAACTATTGTTTAGTATGTTTTTTCGTTTTGTGGATCTGACAATGGCGTTCGCACAGAAATGTGCATAATCTAGTAGGAACATGGACCACAAGGCAACAATCATGTATTTTTATTTTATTGTAATCCAAACCACCTACTGGAGAAAAAAATTATACATACTATGTATTTGATGATATACATTACTAACTAGTGTGCCCAGAAGACCGGGTAAGGGGGAAGTTGTAACAGACATGAATTTTTATGATTGTGTTTTATCGTGCATTATTTTTGTATGAAACCGGGAAATTTGAAATAATGCCCATGCCTATAGCTCCATTCATTAGCGGGGTTATGATAGTTCTCTTTTAAAATATTTGTGTAGTTAAAAGAACGAGATTTAGGAAGACGATCTCGATGATGTTGTGATTGGGGAAAATGATTACAGTGATTTTGTGATTGCGGTAGCAATGTATGGCCATTTAAAACCATAAAAGTACATTTTTCACACAATTTTACCGGGTTAATGCCTTCTCCAAAGAAGGGTTCGGTCCCAATTAGTTTGTATTAGAGAAAATCTCTGATTTATCGCAAATGTTGTAAACATGTAACTGCTTATGGTGATCAACAGATAGCACTCAATAACTAGTTTTTGCGTCTAAGTGGTGCCATCTTTGCAACGTACTAGAACATAGGTTTACTGTATATTGTCATATTTTCTTAAGAATACCATTTAAAGATTCCATAGTAGGTACATTAAAGTACACAATGGGACACATGCATGGCCCCCACAAGGGTGGGGCTGGCGCAACTCTAGTCACAGGGCCCGGGCCCTCAGGGGGCCCGGGCCTACCCATTTGTTTTTTATTTTTTTCCCCATTGAAGATCACTTTACAGCTCATAAATTGAAGATAAAAAAATAATATTTAAATATTTTACAAAAAACAAAGTTAAATAATTTAAAATGTATTAATTCTTGATTCTAAGGAAGTTTATATTTAAATTCTATAGGTGCGTAGGTGCGTATGTACTATACAACAGCAGAACAGCCAGCTCGGGCCCCAGTGGCCGGCTCCACAAACTCCCTCTACCCCTTCCTCCCGCCAGGCGCCTAGCCACTCCTACCTCATTCCCCCCATAATAAACAAAGTTTGGTTTTATAATTGAACTGATAGTTTCAAGAATGAATCCTTATAGTTATAAGTTAAAATAAAATTTGTAAAGCATTGAAAAATTGACATGTACTATGTACCATAGCTAAGGTGACCAGACGTCCCGTTTTAGGGGGACTGGTCCGTCCCGACAAATCCTCTCGGGACGCTTATTTGTCCTGTTTTATCAACATTTGGTCCCGGTTGCACTTTTATGTATGGAATATTTCAATTAATAATTATTGCAATCTAGGTTATTTGACACAAACTTAAAAATTCTTTACTTTTGGAGTTTTAAAAATATGAAAGATTGTAGGCCTAATAATTTTGACCTAAGTTTTCTTCCCAATTTGCTCGGTATAATACTGTACTAAAGCATGGATTGGATAGCATCGGTCATTCTCGGCATTACTCGTGCACATTTGTTTTTCTCCGTGACTACTCGGCGCAAGTTCGGCAGCTCAGGCATCCACTCCCAAAAAATGTAGTATTGTTAAAATTCTTGATGAAAATTGTCACTGAATAAAATATGATTTCATTGGTGTAAGCTGTTAAACTCAATTTACGTAAGTTTTTTCCTACTCCATATTACAAAGTACAATAATAGCAGTTAAGATAGCCAAACCCTCTTACAGGGAAATAAAAAGGACAAAATATTAATAGGCATGGAGCTTTTGTGTATTGATATAATAGTTTTAATTGCTGAATTCCTGTAATTTTAAGTCTTATAACACTCATTGAAGAACTCTTTTCTTCCTTAAAAAAGGCTGCAAAAGTGCCATTTACCACTCACAAATTTAATACCTAGATTGCCTTAAAAACTCACTAAAATACATGACATTTTCAAAATTTTCCCGGGGGGGACCCCCGGACCCCCCCTCTACGCTGGGGGGTATTCCATACCCCCCCGACCCCCCGGTTGGTAGGGGGGCCCGAGCCAGATCCTGGTAACAGGGCCCACAATTAAATGTGGGGGCCATGGACACATGCACACTATGCACAACGACTTATCATGCTAAATGAATGTTCTTCGTTCTCAGTTTGGAGTTTGTCAAAATCAGTTAACTGATACAGATTCTAATTTGTCTGAAACTGTCTCAAACATACCTGATCATCCAGTGTAAGCTCTGTAAAGGCAGGGATGTATTTTGCCCACTCCACTAAGTACAGCAACTGTTGTTTCATTGAGTCACACACATCGCTGATGTTGGCTATTGATTTGTTAGTTAGGTCGTAGTCGTTGTTCATCTGGAAAAATTAAAAAAAAAAACCGTTGATAAACCATCGGTACTTCACTGACATCTTAGAAACTTGGGATTCAATATTCAGAGTGTAAGTCAACTGATATTTCCATTTGGAATATTAAAAGGTATACATTTGATGTTTCAAAACTGAACCAAAGGCTGTCAGTGGTTATTGGGTTTTTAAGTGAACTCTAACCTGTGCATGGAACATGGAACGTATCAACCAAAGGACAGGGTCAGGCGATACAATACAAAAATAAACCGATAAATATTAATGACAGCGGCTGGATGCAAAGAAACAGTATCCCTGCTGGATTTGGGCATTGGAATGCATCTAAAGTTGTAACAAATCTCTCACTGACTAACCTCCATTGCTGCACCGACTTGCCGGGACAACATTTCCGCATTCAACAGCGATGTGACTGACAGCCCGTTGTTAGAGACAGCCTCTTCATAGCTCGGCCGACGACAGCTGATTCTGTCCCTCTCATTCTGGACAGCTGGGAGCAATAAAACAATTAATTGATACACAATGAGATAGAGTAATTTATTACAAGTTTTATAAAACTTATCAATTTTCAATAATCAATTCAAATTATCAATTATGAATTTCAAGAAGTGAATTTAAGTTGATGAAAATTCAAATGGTGAGTCATTGACCTAACACACAACTCTGACACTATAGTAGAGTGGTAGTGGGTTCTAATCCCAGTTAAGCGATTCACCATGACCAGACAATTTTGTTCAAGAATACTTAAAGATAGAAATCTTTAAAATTTTTCAGCTTTCGTAGACAAATTAGGATAATCTTCCCTAGTTCCAACAAAATTGTCAATGTTCGGTTCGACATACTTTGCAATTATCTTTGGCGATCATAATTGACGTGTATTCACTTATACAATTACAAAGTAGGCTACAACTTGGTAAAACGAAAATTGACTTTAATCATGTAAAAACTAACTGACAACAAAAAGTAAACAATCTTGTTATTTGTAACATATGGTAATAAATGTTGTGAATTTGATACAGACCAAAAGCACGAACACTTCAATAATGTAAGGATAATTCCTCTCCTGAAAAATCAGGAATTTACTAAAATACTGCCAAGAAAAAGAAATCACAATCTCATTATTTGGGTCTTGAACATCCCCCCGTCCAAATAGACAGGAATTTGTTATTTCTGTTTTCCTGGCAGTTTAGTTGTACAGCAAAACCTCACTAAGACAACAATTTGTGTACCCAGAGGTTGTCAAGTTTCGGGGTTGTCAAGTTATCCAGAACATTGAAATTTTTAATGGGTTTTAATAAATGAACATATAACATCAAACTTGCTCACACTAACACCAAGCTGTTATATACTAGTTTATAACATATAAACAGACTAATTTTAATTTTATAACAATTTATTTTATTTGAATAATGTATTACTTAAATGAGTATTTTTACTTTGAGTGAACAATCTTCAAAGAAACGTCGAATATTATTCAACAATTACAACTTGATAAGTCAAACACAGTTAGTAAGACAAAGCCTGAAAGCCAGCTAGATGTGAGCCTTCAGCTGTTGACTGTTAAGTTACAAGCATGATTTATTAGACGACTTTGACCTTGAAACTAGGAGGTAGTATATTTTCTCGTTGAATTGTGAATTATACTACCTCATATTTACCCACTTGGGAGTTTTCTAGCGTTAGCATGACGAATTTCCCAATTTTCTGGTCTGGGTGGCATCTAACGTGTTCAGTGCAGCCTAAACAAATCTCCACCACATCATCCTAAACACTTGACAATAAGCTATATAAGTTAGGTAGGTACCTACCTTCTTTTTTCATTCCAGCCTTGAAACACTTCCTCAGTCTACAGTAACGACACTGGTTCCGCTTGTCTTTGTCAACGATGCAATTTCTGTGAAACCTAGAACAAACATACTTCTGTCGAGGTACTTGAACTATAGAAAAGCCACAAAATTCTAAGATAACATCTCACTCCATTCTACAATCATTTCACTCATATTTGGGTTTAAATAAGCACCTAGGTCTCCATCCCAATAATTGATTATTGTAAAAAAATACATTGTAAAATGTTAAATATCTTCTTAAAACTCAATATCACGTTTGTGAGGCAGGAAAATTAAAAATCTACTTGACTGATTGATATCAAACACAGCTTCAACAAGCAATTTCTCTGTTTGCAGCAAAGATGCATGCTGCGAGTGAATCACTGCCTATAGTGTTGCTTTATTAACTCTTTAACCAACAGGTTCATAACAACATAACATTTACATTTTAGAACTTCTTAGTGTGAATAAAATTATGTTCTATGAGACTTATCCAAAACAAAACAGAGGATTGGTTTGAGTTCAACTCTAAGATAGACAATCATAGGGTTCACCTTTAACACTCACATTAGTTATACTTCCACTATAAAATACTTATAAGGCCTCCTCCCCATTTTATTTCTAAGTTCTCAAACTGTGAACAAGACCAGAAGGTCTCAAAAAAATTCCCTTTAAGGTCAAGCAGGTTAGCTCAAATTTGATACCAGCTCAGTTTTATGATCATACTTCATCTACCACTATTCTAGCGGTTGCCAATGGAATGATTGGTCTTGTTGTACAAGTTGATTCCCAATGTAAGGGAAACTTACACCCCTTTCACCACGTATAAATTTTGTATGTTACAACTGGATCTTGTAGGAAGACAGGTTAGTTAGTAGATAGTTTACCTGCAAGAATACACATGGTTTTTCCGCACCGACCGACGGAAGAACCCCTTGCAGCCATCACAGCTGGCCGCGCCGTAGTGTTTGCCTGTGGCTCTGTCACCACAAATGGCACAGTATTGTCCCAGAGCCAACATCCCTCCCACCCCCGACACTCCACACAGTCCCAGCTCCGCATCTCCTGAAACAGACATGAAATTAGAGGCAAAGTCAGGACTTGTAAGTTGTAAGTCCTCTCTACCACTTAACCTCTAACACAACCTCTAAAGAGACATTTCCTACTGTAACACTCTCTGTGAGCAACCAGGTGTTGAATCAGATGCTAAAGTCAGGCAAATGCTCCTAGACCTGATCAAGGATACAAATAGGCTTACACAGTTAGAGGCAAGTGAGGTGGGCACACTTAGCTATGTGATGCCCTTCTCTTCAATCTTGAGTGTTCAAATGATCATATAGCATTTTATATTAGCTCTTCAATCTAACAGTTCTCTCACCTACAGATCCATCTTCAATTGTTTTCTACATGGGTAAGCAATCAGCAACATAACATAGTTTTGACAATCAGGTTTGAGCAGGGAAGTACCTAAGATAGTAATGTTGATTGACCAGGTATGATTTTGTGTTTACTTATGATGACATTATTTTAACACTTTTTATAAGGGAATGGTTCAAACCCTGATCTTTTACAATCAAAGGTCCTTTTGTTAAATAGCATCATTAATTGATAGCCCACTGAACAATCTTACTAGCGGCCTTTAGATTTGATGGAGAGCACTATATTCCCTCAGCTACTCAGAAAACCCTGAGTTAACATACATTTTTTTATGTCCTAGGATGCTAGGCACTAGCCCTGAATAGTTGTTCACATTACTTCATGCTAGACTAGGGGTTGTGGCATTATTACTTAGATAAAATCCATTGACGATTTGCCGGGATTTGATTCGGTTGGACCAAAGTCTCACGCTCTACCACTAGACCAGCTCACTCCTATATTGACCATGACAAATATCACAAAACTTTAAGAATCAGATTTTAAACAAAGCTCCAAAACTTGTAATCAGTGACAAACAGTTCTAGTAATCTTACAGACTAAAGAGCGTAAAAACTAGTTCTTAGTATCATTACATCTTTGTATTTGTGCGATTATAAAGTTTTGAACCAGAGAGCCCCAAAGAAGTCCCGCATGCTACGTAATATTATATTTGTGCTATAAAATACCGGTAGGAAAATTAAACAGAGATCTGTAAATCACAGGATAAACTGATTTTTTTATTCTGGGTATGTATGTAGTAAGTATATATTCAAGATTAGGTGGTTCAGTAGAACCTCACTAACTCGACAGTAAACAGCTGACAGGGCACACACAAAAATAAACATAAAAAAAATTAGTTTTAATTTAAATTCAACATTTAATATTTGTAATTTCTTTGATGAGTGTTTACTCAGTATGTGAAAATATTCATGTGAGTAAGAAATGTATAGGCTATGTAAAATTACTCTGTTATGAATTTATTTGTAAAAAACAATTAAAAATCTGTTCTGTTCTGGATAAACTCAACAACCTCTGAGTCCGCAAATAGTTAGAGGTTTTACTGTTTGCAGTTATAGTTAACTTAAGTAGTTGATTCTTACTTATGGACAGTGAAAGAGCAAATCTTGAGAAATCTTCACTACGAAATAAAACAATAATTTAGAATAAGTGTACACATGTGTGTTTAATGAACCATAGTGATCACCTTCCAATATAAAGAATATCAGATTATTACAACAGTTTTGAAGGTGTGCTATTGTTCTAAATATGGTTGGCTATTGGGGGATTAATGATTATTTCTAAAAACAGGAAGTATAAAGTTGGTAAAATAAAATACAAGTTTGACAGTTCTATAAAAACATTGTTGGTGATAGGTATGTTAAAAAAAACTATGTCATGAACTGCTTGACAAAAACTACAATTAATCGTGATTTTAGGATCAAACCTACATAATTAACACAGAGCTAAATAATATTATTTAAGTTCCTAAATCTTCAAAATCTCAAGAAAACAACTTTCTAGGGTTGGCCCAAAAAATTGTACAATCTCCCTAAGTAAATAACCATTACCAAAAAATCACTTGTATATTAATTAATTGCAGAAAAACTGCAACCTAAAAATTATTTTAAGTACCTATTATTTGCAAATTTTTCTGTTTCAGTATTTGTCAAACATTTTTAAATAGATTTTTGATTTTTATATATTTCTTGGTTTTCTAACCAAGAAATACTGCATTGGAAAAATTTTGATCAAAGACGTAATAAATATGTGATTGATCCTGTGTATACAAATTTTAACAAAAATGAACCTTAAACATATTATAATTACATTCAGCTAAACCATATAGATTTTAAATATGGCCATTTAATTTTTTTACAATAGCCTAAACAAAAGGACCCTGTTGTATAAGATAGCATTTTTTTCTTTGGTAGGCAAATTAAATAGTGCACAAAATAACATTCCTTATACCGGTAATGAAGTAATTAAATTTTAAAAGGAGGTATTTGAATTCATTGGCGTTTTTCAAACACTGCAAAGTTAAATTTGTGTTCAAAATTAGAAACAAATTTAACTTTATAACATTTATCAATTTACAGTACTTAATAATTTTCTCTGTGGCTTAGCACCAATAAAATGTTGATTTATGGTGGAGAGATGGAATATAAAGCCTATGGAATTTATGAGTTATACAGAGACAAAGGGATGTGCAAAACCACAACTGGAGAATTCAATAATAAAGATAACCACATAAGATCTCTGAAATTAATTCAAAATCACTGAATCAGCAATGAAAAACTAAACCAATGTTAACCATGTGCTATATTAGAAATCTCGTTAAACACTACATGAAAAATTTACCATCCCAATGGCTTTAATAATCCAAACTCCAAAAGAGGAGACAAAACTGATCACAAAACTGACGTAATCAATATTAAACTGAACAAACTATGACATCACCAATCACTCAAAACCGACTCTGTTCTACAAAAAAAGTCTGAACACCACAACCGTCATCCCCCAACTGATGAGTGTTGAGTAGTGAAATGTTGAAATGTTGACCTTTGGAACCGTTGAATATCAAAGTCTAAACTAATAAATAAACTGCCTAAATACCTCTGCAAGTGTTATCCGGACCGCACCATACTTTGAGAAACTCCGACATCCCACAGGGAAAACTTTGAACTGAATTGCAACAATGGAAACTGCAAAATCTGCTAGAACTGCTAGATCTTCAGAAGGGTAAACGCCATGAGGGAGACAGCTGTTAAATTGGACTTTGAACACCACTTTGTAAGTGTATGCATTTAGTTCAAAGGTCACATCTTTGATAACCACATGAATTGACATGGTTGATAACTGTAGATATAACTGTAATTATATCCATGTCGAAACTTTTCCCCCTCCCCACCCACGATGTGTTTACGATGACAACACATTTTTGATATCTATCTGCCCATCCCCCAACGATTTTGGGGCAACGTCGATGTAGCTGGAGTACATAATTACATTTATATTCGTATAAGTAGACGCAGTAATAACAATACTATTCGCCAAGTAGACTTCCCATCCAATGTTTACATTTGTAGCCTAGAAAATATTGAATATTGAAAATATTGATGAAGTTCAGGACCATCTCACCAGAGGGTACTAGTTTATTGGGTTGAAAGTTGATTAAAATTCATGCAAACAGCTGATTGATAGAAGCAGAATATATGGTCATTAGATGTTAGGCCATCTCCAACAGATTGCACCACGTTTTTTTGGCTTCCAATTTTTATATTGTACTAGCTGTAACCCGCGGGCTTTGCCCCGTTTAATTTCTTAATTTTCAAGATTATCTCGTTCGCATGGCTCAATTGCTAGAACACCACATAATCCCTGGTTGAACCTGGTTGAAGTTTGTTCGCTACGCTCACTCACCTTTAGGTTGGAGCTCGTTCGCTACGCTCACTCACCTTTAGGTTGGAGCTCGTTCGCTGCGCTCACTTGCCTTCAGGTTAGCTCGTTCGCTACGCTAACTCGCATCCAGGTTGAAGTTCGTCCGCTACGCTCACTCACCTTTTGGTTGCAAATTAGCTGTTGTCATAAATGTAAAAGAAATAATAGTGCTGCACCCTGTTGGTAATCCTTGTAACTTTAATGCTATTGAACATCATAGAACAGAACCAACTTGTTTAATTGAAACAGCTGTTAAGATTCAATAATTCCATTTCTCATAAGGTTAACATGGGAAACTCCAGAGCCACTGGGGCGGAGCCCGAAAGGATTTTTGAAATAAGAATATGCCTATATGTTAATCGGGAATGTGAGCTATCATCATGCCAAATTTCAGCCCAATCCGACCAGTATTTTTCGAGTTTACTTTTGCCATACACACATACAGCAACCACCTCTTTTTTATAATAGTATAGATAGATGGGAAGTCTACTCCGAGTAGCCTATAGTCAAAGGTAATAGTGCTTAGAAATTATTGCGTTTGAAGGAGTCTTTCGAATATTATAAAAGTAACATTATGCTTTTTTCAGGATAATTTGTAATAACCTTTAGTTAATAAGTATTGACTTCTATTCCTCTTGATCATTTTCGATCGAAATATTTTCACGACCTTATACGACTCATATTTGTTCATTGTCATTTCTCGTTTACCATACTTAAAAACAGTACAGTATAATATGTGCTACAAGTATATAAAACTTTGCTTGATTGCTTGATTAAATTTATGCTACAAAATGCACGTTAAGCTTGGTAAGAAACGGCCGAGTTGTTAAAATAGAAACTAAACCTGAAGTGAAAACAATGAATTTTTCAACAGGATTACTCATTCAGCCGATAGTCAGATTAAGTTAAGGAAACACAAAACTTTCAATCAAACTAGGTTATGTACCATTGAAACTAGTGTTTCTATGAACAATTGAAGGGTCGTGTAACTTCATAAAACTGAATAATTATAATTTCCTGTGATCTCATCCAGTTGCAAAGAACGAGCAAAGCTACACAATAGTATAAATAAAGTAGACGAATTTTCTACCTAACGACTTCCAACTTCCTTCAAATTGGAGGTAGGGCCTACAGCACTGCCAACATAGACAGATACACACTACACAGTATATGGATCATGAGCTATATCATTCATGGAAAGACAAGTATTT